CTTTCAAGCATGACTACAGGCTCTAGCTAGAGTATTTTAGCGCTCTTTAATTCAGCTGTAAGGGTGTACCTGAATACTTACCCTATTCATCCATCAAAAGGGAACGTTAAACACATGGAACCATGTGACTCAGCATGTCTACTTTTAGATAAGCATCCGAAGAAATAGAACCACAGGGACTTGAACAGACACTCGGCCACCGGTTCATAGTCAGCATCATTCAGAACCGCGGAAGGTGGGACGCCCCCAAATGTCCATCCGTATATACATAAAAACACATCTGCTGTGCTGGTCGGTGGTGGCACACGCCTTTAATCCCACCACGTGTGAGGCAGAGGCAGGCAGATCTTTGTGAGTTCGAGGCCAGCCTGGTCTACAGAGTGAGATCCAGGGCAGGCACCAAAACTACACAGAGAAACCCTGTCTCCAAAAACAAAACAAAACAACAACAACAACAAAAACCCATCTACTTATGGAAGATGTAGACATGATAATGAAATGTCCTTCCGCCAAACCGTACCCACCAAGATTGTTAGGGAAGTTTCGAAGGTTGTATCGCTGCCTCTCCCATCTCTTACCCACTGAAAAAACTAGACGGGGTTTTAAAAAGTGACTACTTATTATTTTTGTTCCCTCCTGACAAACCGAGGGGCTCTATTGTTAGCACAGAGAGACTGTCCCCGGTGAGATTACCCTGTGTGGATAATTTAGGCGAGGCAGTGGGCTGGCCCGCAGGGCACTGGTGTGAGCTAGCACCACTCAGTGCGGTCCACTTCCTGCCCAGTCCACCCTCACCCCCATCCCCCACCCGACCCCACCCCCGCCCCAGATTAGCCTGGGGTGGGGGGGAGAAGACCCAGAGCGGCAGGCGGCTACTGCATTGTCTGGTTAGGCAAATGTTTCACCTGCTTGGCCAATTAGCGTCTTCTCCCAGAAAGACGAGTTCAACAGGTTTCCATTTGCTCTCCCTCTGCCTCCTGGGTTGGGGAAAAGGGCTGTCACTTTGCTTCGACCCTCCTCTTCCCTCCCTCTGGGCTCTTCCAGCCGGGCTCGGACCAATCGCGCCGGCTCCAACGTGTCCAGGTTGGCGGCCCCGGAGCTCGGCCGCCTGGATGCGTAGGGCTAAGGCGTCAGAGGGCCGGGAGCGGGGTGCCCCCGAGTAGGGAGCCAAGTCCTGGGGTACGCCCGGGACGCGGCCCCGATGACTGAGCTCCAGCAAGAGGTGGAGGACGCCAAGCCCGCCAAAGTGCTCGGCAAGAGAGAAGGCAAAGTTGGCCCAGTCCAGTAAGTGACCTCTGGGGGTGGGGACGTGTCCAGACTGAACTGCTAGCTTGCGTTCCGATGGGAAAGGCTTTCTAAACTTCTGTGGAGACCGCTTGCCTCTGTCTCTGTCTGTCTGTCTGTCTGTCTCTGTCTCTTTCTCTTCCTCCCTCCCCCTTCTCCAGCTCTTTTCTTCCCTTTCTCCCTGCCTTCCCTCATTAAAGATGCATTGTCTATTTTGCGATCCGGTGGTGATGAGAATTATTGGGTCCGAAAGTATGATTGATGTTTTCTAATTCCCAAAAGAGATCTGGGGAAACTCCTCAAATCTCGGCGTCATGTCAAGAAACCTTGCTAAAATTTGCTTCAGTTCCTCCATTTGTGATTGATCTCTGGGAAGATCCAGGTCTCTGGTTATTGGATGCCATGTGTTGATCGCTTTCACAATAATGTGTACTTTATTTGATTTAGAGCTCGTGGCTGGCTCTCAGAGTTCCTCTTCACTGTTTCCACCTAAGAGAGAAGTCGTTGGAAACAAGTATACTTTCCTTCCAAGTCTGTGTGCCCTTACACACACACACACACACACACACACACACACACACACACACACACACACACACACCATTTACAGTAGCGTGAAGGAACACTGAAATATGTACTAAGACAAGAACACTTCAAAAGCTGCTGTGTCTGTACTCTTAAAGCATTTTCGTGCATATTGGATTTGAACATTATCTGACCTGTAAATCCTTTGCACTGAGAACAAATATTTCCATCACCAGGATTTGCGCCCTGTAAGGTTACTCTCTTTCCTTTCCGGTGCTACTTTGAATGCTTGTTTAACAATCTAGAGGTGTGGTTCTTTTAAATGATTGTTATTCTTGTTCCTCTTTTTAAAAGAAAAAAATAATCCTTGACTGATTTACTCTATCACCATAGTGTGTCAGAACGTTATCACTGCAACATTAACTAATGGCACAAATCAATATCTAAATAAGCCCAATTTTATTTCACACTATTAAGTTGTTGGTGAGCCTGGAATGTTTTATTGATACTACTATCAATGATAATTTCTAAGAGTGAAGACTCAACCCGTATGACCATCATGTAGGTGTTTGTTGTTGCTGGTGTTGTGTTTGTGAATCACAGCCCTGTTGCACGCGAGGACTTTCAAGCATGACTACAGGCTCTAGATCAGCATTTCTCACCCTGTGGGCCATGACCCCTCTGGAGGTCGAGTGACCCTTTCACAGGGGTTGCCTAAAACCACCAGAAAACACAGCCATTTACATTACGATTCCTAACAGTAGCAAAATTATAGTTACGAAGTAGCGATGAAAATAATTTTGTGGTTGGGGGTCACCATAACATGAGGAACTGTATTAAAGGGTCTCAGCATTCCACTGCTCCGGATTCTGTTATTTGAGTTTACATGGAAATTTGGGGAGAAGAGCTGTTAGCCGCTATGGTCTGTGGTTTCAAGGCTGTGGCCATTCTGTCTCCTAGGTCTCTGTTCCCCTGACCTCTCTTTTCTTTGCCATCCAGTGTCCAGCAGCTTAAGCTAAGGTTCCTCATCCTGCACTTGATCTTACTGGAAAGGTCGAGAAGTGGTATAGTTCCTACTTGTTTTGATGAAGAGAAAACGGTGCCAGAACTAAAACCCCCCAAAAATGTGTTTTTTTCTCACCCCCAAATAAAATACTAACTGTATAATAATAATTCAGATCTATGACCGGGTGTGATGATACATGCCTTCAATTCCAGCACTCTGGAGGCAGAGGCAGGGGAATCTCCATGAGTTCGAAGACAGCCTGATCTACATAGCAAGTTCCAGGACAGCCAGGGCTATATAGAAAAACCCTGTCTCAAAAACCCCAAAAGTAAATAAAGAACTCAGATCTAAGAAAAAGATGGACTATTAAGTAACCCTGTTTATCGTGTTTATGTATACTTTATTTCTCCAAAGAAAACTCAGTATGGAGAATCCTTTCACCGCGATATAGACATTGTGACTAGAGTGTTGAGTGGCAAAGGGGACTAGGGAACCTGGGTCTTGGAATTCCTAGTCCAAGATTGACCCAAGGCAGTCTACTTCCAGTTACACAAAGAATAATGACTCAAGTCTACTGAACAGCTGCCAAGCTTTGAAATCTCCATGTCCCGGGTGTCTAGATCCGAGGATAAGACTGTGCTTCGGATTGATTGGAAACTCTACCACAGCATCGGTACACGTTTTGTTCATTCAACACTTAGATATTATGGAAATGCTTTTATAGAAAACAATAAGCCTGACTATACCGAAGCTCATAGCTCGGATACAAGCCTTTCATTTGGAACAATCCATTTCACAAATTCATTTCGGTTAACAAGTACTGCAGTACTTACTTGTCCAATCATGTGGTCAGTTCAAAGATAAGCGTGGTTTTGCATCTGTCCTTCTGGAACTCGGAAGAGCGGTAGGATGGGCAAGACTCAAATGTGGCCATTGCCACGTTACGTGGACAAGGTACTGTAAAAAGTTTGACCTCTAACTGGATCTTCCGTGTAGTTGAGATGTCTTAACTCTTGCCATCTTTGGTAAAATGTGGCAGAATTTGCTAACTTCTTTGTCCCTACAAGGCAGCACTTTCTAAGCCTGCCAGAGTCACTTTTGTTTCCATCTAGATTTTAAGACATTTTCTTTTGAGTTCTTCAACTCTTGCTCTGGTGTCAGGATAAGAGTTACTTAAGGAAGGGAGTGTTGTCGTGGGTGTACGAGTGTGATAATGTCCCTTGGAATCATTTTAGCTTACCAGACGTTCATGCTTCCTTCTGTGGGCTTCCAAGTGTCTCGGTAAACATTTGTGGGAAGGTACTAGAATGGCATCCTAAGCACACCGCCTTCTGACCCAGAGCCTAGCCTCCTAGGTCATAATAGTGGGCATTGTTGAGAACGCTTGCTATGTGAGAGGGAAGATGCTCTCACACTCTCACACTTCACACTCATTTGCACACAGAATGAGACAGGCATCATTATAACTCCATTTTACAAATAAGAGCGTTGAAGCTCTGAGAAGCTAAACAAAATTAATACAACAGCAGCTCCGATTCCAGCCCACATCCTCCCTCTCTAGATAGAAACACGGGATGGTAGTTTATCCCTGGGCCTCAGTTCCAGAGTCTGTACGCCAGAGTGGCTCTCCATAGCCTACTCTAAAACACAGAGTTTTCTGCCGAACTTTTAAGGTCCTTCTAATTCTGGATGCGCATAGACCATCTCAACCTCCTTTCCAAATATTAGCCACCTGTATATCACTGACAGTGAGGCAGTCACACTAGCAGCCCTGTATTAAAGAGGAAACACTGACCACCACCATGTCCATACCCAAATTACTCACAACAGTTAAGCCATAGAATCAGCCTTTATCTATTAATGAATGAAGGGATGAAGAAAATCTAGTCCATATGCACAGTGGAAAATGTGGTATAGAGATGCTATTTGGCTTCAAAAAGGCAGGAAATCCTGTCATTTGGGACATGGATTAACCAAGAAGACATTATGCTAAGGGAAATAAGCCAAGCTCAGAATGACAAATACTGCATGATGTCATAGAAGTAGAATGATAGTTAGCCAGAGTACAGAGTGGGAAGGAATGAGGAGTTGTTGATCAGGCCACAGAGTTTCAGGGCTGATGAGATAGCGCAGAGTGTAAAGTCAGCTGATGATCTGAGTTGGATCCCTGGGTCCCAAATAGTAGAAAGAGATGACTGCCTCCCAAAAGTTGCCCTGTGGCCTCCACATGTGCCGTGGTGCACACATGCACAAAGTGAATGTAATTTGTAATAAAGAGGACAGAATGTCAGATAGATGTCAAGAATAAATGTCAGATATGTTGGGTAGCAAAGTAACTAAAGTGACATAAATAATGTATATTTCAAAGTAGAAAAATATCAAATGTCCTCCTAAAAAATGATAAGTAGTTAGGTACAAAATATGTTAAGTAGTTTGATTTACTCATTTCATTGTGTGTGTGTGTGTGTGTGTGCCCCAAAAATATATGTAGTCATGTAAAGTGTTGATGAAGGGGGCTGGAGAGATGATTAAGAGCACTGGCTGCTCTTGCAGAGAACCCAGGTTTGGTTCCCAGAACCTCCATGGTAGCTTGCAACCATCCATAATTCCAGTTCCAGAAGGTCTGATGCCCTCTTCTGGCCTCCAAGGGCACTAGACACATGCACAGTGCAATTACATGCATGCAGGCAAAACACTCATATGCCATACACATAAAATAAAAATAAATACATTTAAACTGCTAATTTAAAAATCAGGATAATGTTAGCTCAAAAGTAGGCTGCTGGAATAGCCTGTGCGAGGCCCAGCACCAGAAATATTAATAGAGAAATTAAATTTTGAAAATATTCTTACAAAACTGACGGATGAGACACTATAGAGAAAGAATAGAGTTGAGTTGTCTCCAATCCAGCTCCCTCTGCTCACCTCTGCTCCTTTACACAGAGTTTTTTCTCTCCTTTCTCTTTTATCTCTAGACATCAACTCCAATTTTCCTTCATGTACAGCCTTCTGCCTATCACTAGCCACACACGGCCCCTCCTTCCTTATCAGTGCTCACGTTGTATAGATGTCGTCAGTTGTTGGAATTAATGTTGCTGTCATAATAATTATTCATTGTTATTGAAGGGTTAGTTTGTACCAAGGGCTGCCGTCAATTGCTGGCATATCTCAACCCACACACTACCCACTAGATGCTCTTGGGTATCTTTACCCTAAGTGGGAAAGAGTTATAAACTGATTACATTCCTGCCCCCCCCCCATACACACACACTAAATTTCTCAGGAGTTTATTCAAGGTGACCTACAAATGGTGACTTTTAAGAATGGTTTGCTGGTGAGCTAGGGAGGTGGAGACCCGTGGCTCCCTAATTAAGAAATCTGGCAAGCTCCTACCTGCATTCAGCCTGACTGTGTCAGGGGGAGCGCCACATGTTCAGTGTCTGAATCACACTTTCTGTCAGCTA